GTTAATAAAAGTTCTATGTTTTATATATAGGCTAAAGTGAGTTTGACGTTGTATTTTGTTGTTGCATTCAAGCAATTGACGCCGAATTGCCGCTAATTTGAAAGTGAATGTAAAATGAACAAGGCGCTTTTAAGCTATTTAAAAGCAAAGGAGCGCGAGGAAAAGAGGGAAAATTCAAACGAACAATTGCTTTACGCCGAATTGCCGCTATTTGAAAGTGAAAGTAAAATGCGCATGCCGCTTTTACAAGCTATTTAAAAGCGAAGGAAAGCAAGGAAAAAGAGGGAACGCCCCCACCCCCACGGTGATACCGGTATTACCGGTGTTGTCACACATCGATTAACCGGTGGGAAAATTTCCTCACCGTCACAACCCTACCATCAAGTAAAGTTAGTTTAGAGAAAAGCTCTAGCAGAACTGGTTTTAGATTACATTCTTTTGTTTATGATATTTTCATCATAATCTCAACTAACAACAAATAATATTTTTACTGCATTTATTAACATAGCAGTTTAATGTTAGTTTCTACATATACCAATACATTTATTATTTCAAGTAACATGAGGACATGTTCATTGTTATTTCATGATACCCAATGCATTAACTAATGAGCAATGTCTATGCAAAAACATTTACTGTCCAAAAACAAATTGAAAGTCTACCAAGCAAACCGGCTTGATGATTTGAAAGCAAAATGTGAATACTTTTTTTTTAATGTAAAAAATAGTAAGAAGAAAAAGTAAGAAGTAAAAGTAAAAGATGTTATTCATCCTGATCAGGTGATTTTTTTTATATTACTGAAATTTATAGTGACAAAAAATACACCCAAACTACCACCAACCAATGTATTATACTACATTTTCAGTGTATAAAACTTTATTTGCACTTTTAATTCTCTTTTATGTGAAGCATTTCATTTAGACACCAATAGTTTTGCTGTGTTTTTTAAGAAAGTTTCCTGAACACCGAATGTCTTTCAGAAGAATCCACGAACGATTAGCATTCTTAAAGTTGATTCTTTACATTAAGGATAGAGGGAAGTATACTAACACCACACACTTCTTCTTTAACTACGATCTTTCCTATTAAAGTATGATTCAGTGCTGTGGTTGAAGTCAGAAGTTCAGCATGAGCTGAACAAGATGTGGTCTTACTTGTGTTTTCCGTTCATCTCCAGACCAACCACAGGACAGATGAACATGGCACAGTGCATGTCTTCATAACAGTCCCCTTTAATGTTGTGCCTCTCACCCTCCCACGCCGGGTTATCCGTCAGATTCAGCTCCTTCACATCCTGTCAAACACACCAGGCTTATTAGATTTAACTAAAACCATTAAAAAATGGTTATATAAAATAATATAAATGTTAACTGAAAACTTTTTTTTCATCTAGTTGTCATGGCAACATTTGGGGTGTACTAAAATAGCTAAAACTGAACCAAAAATTAATAAATACTATATGTGGGTCAAAGACAAGATGTCTCATTTTGGTGTCTGCAACAAATTAAATTCACAAAAGTGATTTCATATGCATCGAAACCGTATTAAATGCAAGTAACTTTTGTACTTTAATGTTTCAAATAACTTTTGTGAAAATAAAATATCAAAATATGGGTGAAATAATGTTCTGTCCTCTAAGTGATCATACTACATTTTATTATATTTTAAATGACTTGTAGCTGACAAATGGGATCTGAATGATAGTGGCAAAGATCTGTGATGATTTAAAATTACAACTAATTAGCATTTAGGGCTGCACTGTGATCCTTAATAGAATATATTAAATATAAAATATTGTTACACTGAATGACATTTTAGTGGGTGTCTTCGGTAAATCACTGTAAATATATATGATAGTCATTCTTTTTTGCCCAGAAAAAATACATTTAAAGACTGCATATTTAAAAAAAAAAAGAAAATATAAAAATAAAAACTAATTCAAAGTATTAATAAAAACTATGACAGTATCTCAGTGACTACGTTTACATGTGCACCGATAATGTGATTATTTCCAGTAATCAGAAGACTTAATTGCAGTTAGATATTTACATGACATAAGCAAACATTTTTACTCCCGTTTACATGCAGTTTTTTTTTCCACTTGGCATATGCCACATATTTTAATGTGATCATGATCATTTGTCCGCGTTTACTGACCTTGATGCTACGGATATGTGCAACAACTTCGGCGTTCGGCCTCTCCGCTGATTTATCCAACAAGTACTCAATGATCGCATCTTTATTATACAGTCTGGTGGAAGAAAAATTATTTTTAAGCAGATACTGCAAAATTCACCATGGCTTCACTATTTATCAACACTATAGTAATATTGTTTTGGCAGAAATATTGTAGACGCATACTAAATAATTCAGGGACTATTGGAATAATAATTTTTTATACAGATAAAATAGTTTTCATAATTGTAATACCATAATTGTTCACATTGATTCATGCATCACGAGTAAAAATCAGCAGAATGGATTTAAATATGGTAAAATATGCCAACCAGAGCTGCGAATTCAACACTCTCATCGGTCGCTAAAAGAAAGCCTATTCAAAAAAATTCAAATTCTATTGAAAACTGTGGAGCTTTTTCGTGAGGATCCATTCATGGTGGTTAGTCTGATCTTATTTCAGAGACCACAGTTAAACAATGGTTGGTTGTTATGCAATAATAATGGTAAATCTTTAGAACAGAGGTTATGTAAGGCAGAAAGTCATTATCGGTCAAAATAAACCTCATTTCAGCCTGACAGGTATGATTTTGTGATAATGACCATCTGACTATTATTATATTGCACTGATCCTGCTTATCATATGGTCGCTTACTAAATAAGGGCTGCAACAAACGATTATTTTGATAATCGATTTATCTAACGATTATTAGAACGATTAATCGACTATTCGTCGGTTATTCCGCTGATTAATCAGTAGACATAAATTGATTATTCAGCTTTTGCAATTAGTTAAAATATTGAGTTATACATATTCTAATAAATAAATTAAGGTAATCACTTCAGCTTTTGAAAGTCATATTATGTAATTACAGTTATACAATCAATTTATACAAATAAATATATTTGGCACACAAAATGAGACGGCAGAGAAACTCTCTTATTCACCATTTAATTAGCTATATGAAAAAGTAGCTGAATGACACATCATTCTGCCTAAAATATCTTTTTGTAAGTCATATGGATAAGAAACAAAATAAAGGGTAAGTGATAAGACATTTTATTTTTGGATAAACTAATATTCACAACATAATCTCTCTTAAAATACCTTATAGGGTTATGATAATCAAAACAGTCCTGAGCTAGATCAAGCTTTGATCTCTGCAAACCAAACCATAACTTTAATTAAATGTTTTTTTTCCCCCACTAATAAAAAGATTGTATAATTTGCTAGCTCCACACTGGAGAGCTGCTTTATAACAGAAAATCAAGTTGTAATTCTAACTGAAAGTGACTGACGCGAGTATCGAAAGTATCGTTACTCAAACTAAAAATATCGATACTAAGGTGTGTTTCATTTACCAGTGATTTCGTTTATTTAAAATAATAATAATAATAATGCGTACAAATGCATTGAATTGGACGAATAACCTTTGTTCGCAAGTAACTGTGTAGGATCTATAGAACTATTTTCCTGCTCATCTGAATACACGCAAATGTTGCAAGACAGAACCAATC